CAGCATATCAAAAGTGTACTGCTGTACACTATGCTGATTTGGACATATTTTGGTAGGAGAAGCGAATGCCTTGATTTGCAGGAGCAGATTTTTACCATGATGTATTCAGATTTTCATAATCATGAAGGTTTAAAAGATTTTGCAATGGTATCTTTACTGGTCTCTTAAAAAAACAATAAGGTAGCTCCAGCTCATTTGACCAATAGGGACAACATCTTAGATCACTGCTCTGGTTCTGTTTGATAAGTGACTTTTTTTTTCACATTTTGAAATTCTGATATTGTTCTGTAAAGAACCAAGAAGTAATTGGCCCAAAAATAATTTCTAAATCACTGGTCAGATTTGAACTGTGTAGATCCTTCAGGTCTTCAGGAATCTGCTTACTCAGAGTGGGAGGGAAGAGCAAAGGATACAAAGAAAAAAAAACAGGAAGTAATAAATAACAGCGCAAAAATCTAAAGAGACAACATAAATATATGTGGCAGATATTGGGTTGCTTGTTTTCATTTGTGAAAATGTTTTGTACCACAATACAAAGTGATGTTCTGTTGATGGTAAACAATACTCCACAACTCTCCCCACACTAAGACAAAGCAAGATGGAAGAAGGTGAATGTCTGAAATCAGTCTCTGTGTAGTGCATCACTACTGATGCGGTGCTCAGTACCTGTGCAGACTCTGTGCTGCTTTGGGCTGTGATAGAGATATATGGCTTGGAGGCTGTAGAGCAGGTGGAGGTTCGTGGTGGCACTGGTGGAGGGGTTTTCTTATAGGTAGTAATGCAAGACGATACTATAAAAAACAGAAGGTAGGACAGAACAAAAAGAGAAGAAATTAGTTATATAAATTGTATGATGTGACCAAAATCCACAAATTTTCTGCACCTTCCCAGGGAAGGTCATCTGACTGATATTATAATGCACTGATGTTCACATTTACTTTTTTTTTTTTTTTTTTTTTACTTTATTTTAATTCATGTGTAGCACAATTCATTTTGCTAACCATCTCTATCTTTCAAACTCAACATGAGCTGAACTTCTCCTCTTGTACCTTATTTATGTTCATTTTAGTTTCTTTTAACTTATTTGCACTTCACCTCTCATCCAACAACATTATTATTATTATTATTATTATTATTATTATTATTATTATTATTATATAATTATATTATTATTATAGCATGAATAATATTCATTATTATTCATGCTATAGCATGAATAATAAATATGTCCATTTCTAATCTCGTATTAGAAACATGACTTGGATGCCAAGTTCAAACTTGACGTCTAAGCCACAGCTCACTTCAACTATACAACATTTAGATGAAGTGAGTTGTGAGTGGCTACAATATGTTGTTGTTGAAGTGTGTTGCGCTTTTAATGCATTTTTTTGTTGCGTGTACACAGAGCTGCATGGGAAGCTGACATTGATCTGATACTGACATGCAGCTCATGGCTTTTGGCCAAGATGTGGATGAATGTGTCTGAAGTCAATAAATGGCAGATGTTCTCTTCACAAGGCCATGTTCCCTACAGAGAAGTCATTAAATCTAACAGAGAAAAAAACATTCCAGTGTTTTGCCTTTTGGGGTCTTTTTCTAATAAAATTCAACCTCATTGATTATGATGGAAAATAGTTCAGAAATGTAAAAAGTTCTTCAGACAGCTTGGGCCTCATGAATAACAAAGTGCACAACTTGCATAGTTGGGTTTCTATAAAGAGCCTCAGTGTTATGAGTTCAGTCTAGGTTATTGTTCAGGTGAACACCCATGTATTAGAAGAGTTCATTATCTCAGTGTCCACTCCCTGGATGTTCACTGGCGTCAATAAGGGGGGTGCGCCTGCAGAAATCCACCATCAGTTCCTTGGTGATGATCAAGAGTTGGTTCTGCTGGCTCCAGTCCATTGTCTGTATTATGAGTCGTCCTCACCTGTGATGAGGCCGACTATGGCAGTCATCAGAGAGGTTTTGCAGATGGCAGTGTGGAGATTTGATGGAGAAGTCTGCAGTGTAGATGATGACGAGGAGTGGTGCCAGCACAGTTCCCTGTGGGGGCCCCATACTGCAGACAAAGGGACACAGGTGTGGGAGGCCATTGAGGTAGTCCGGTATCCACTGGTGGTGGATACCCATGTGGTGGTCTACTCCTGACAGCTCCAGCTTGTCCTCAGAAGTCCTGGCTAGATGTTGTGCAATGGATGCACTAAAGACCTCACCAGGAAGCATAGATGATTGAGCATGAGCCTCTATTGACCCAGGGCTTGTAATTGGAGAAACACCATACCTGCCTGATGGGGACAATGTTGTCCACACAGAAGTCAATGCAGTCCATGATGCTGTTGATATTCTCCTCAACAGGAGGACAGAGCTCTTCCCACACAAAAGAGCTTTATGGTTTTCCTGCTGTGTGGAATCTAAAGAAGTTAGAGCTTCTGAGCTCCCCAGGGAGATGTCCTCCCCCTGGGGAGTCCGGTATCCACTGGTGGTGGGGGATGTCCTCCTACTGGGGAGTCCGATATCCACTGGCTGCTAACTCAGGCCGCAGCAGAGTTAGCAGAGTTCACCTTATCATGTGAAAATTCCAGAGGAAGATAATGCAGCCTCATACAAACATCTAGCAGTTCGATGTCCTTACTTCATAGCATTTCTTTGTTGGTTACACCACCTGTCGTTCACAAACACAGCCAGATCCCCTCCTTTCTTCTTACTGCTCTCCCTGGTTCTGTCTGAAAGCTGTCCATGTTTACATGCGAGTCCAGAGTTGCACGATTCTCATTCAGGCAGATGAGGCAGAACTTCTGGTAGCTCCTTTGATGGAATGTTGTTGCTGCCAGCTCATCCACTTTGATGGGAAGAGATCTCACGTTTCCCATTATGATGGATGAAATGACGGATCTTCTGTTTCAGTTGCGACGGCCAATGCATCTGATGTATTTTCCTTCTCATGTCTCTTCCCTTAACTGTCACCCTCAAAATGATTACATGTAAGTCAATGTGTTCATGTGGATAAGAACCACATTATTTTCTTTTGAAAACTGGTATCAAAAATCCAAGCTAAGGTTTAGATTATTAATATATCGCCACTCACCTGTGCTGCTTTGGATGGTCCTGACAGTTGTGGCAGTTGTGCGTGGTGGTGAGGATGGAAGTAGCAGCAGAGGTCTTCCTCCTGGTCCTTCATCCTCTGAGGCACATCCTTGGTCAATTGCCCTCACATAACTGGGGCTACGCATACGGAAGCAACCTGGCATAGGCAGGGTGTCCATAGTTTCCAAACTATCCATGCCTGCGTCCATAGCTTGAGATTGCATCTCACTATAGACTTGCTCACATACTTGCTCAATCTGCCCATTCACTTCAACCTCACTCAGCTATAGAAAAGAAAGAAAGAGGGCAGGAGGGGCACATAGGGTGAGTGTGGGGGGATGGGTGGACCAGTAAAATTCCAGCCAATATATCTTACATGGCAATATCCATGTGACTTTTTTTGATTACTTCCACACAGAAACATTTCTATAAAATGTTGGAACTAACAGATCAGAAATTTTCTGTTAAATAAACAATACTAAAATGAAATATTTTTGATAAATGGAATTCCTGCATAATAATACTCTATGCTATATTTTTACTTTCAATAGTCCATATGTTAAAGATAGGGATGTCTCAATTGCATCCCAAGTGTCACCTGAGTCACCTGTCACACTGATTTTAAAAGATTAATATAGGAAGTCCATGCTAACCCCAGATCCTGATACCTGCTGTAGGTCTGCTCTCTGTGATCATAACAGCTATAACCTCCTGTAAGAGATTGTAGCTGTCACATCTTTTATGCCCAGCTACTAATTACAAAATTGCAATATAGTTCCTCCTTTTTGTCTTATTGATCAAATCTGTCTTTTTGGCAGTGTCAGGGTCACTGACCTCCTCACACAGATAGAAGTGATGCAGCTTAAATTCTAGTCAACCCAGAACAAAGCATTCATTTCAATCTTCCATCCATTATCTAAACTTTTATCATTCTGGGATAGAGAGGGGGGCTGATGCCTTTTTTCCAGCATCCCAGCCAGCATGCCTGGGTGGGCCCCACTTGGGCTTGTTGTGGGCTACGTGGGTTATGAGTGGACATGGGTTTTATATGGGCTAACTGTATGGGACCAATATGGTAACTGAAAATGGGACCCATATGGGCTGGCCAATTTGGGCTAAATGTATGGGCCCCATTCAGCAGTGATGTGGGCTAACTGTGAATGGGGCAGAAATGGGCAATACTATATGGGGCCTATGTAGTTTCAGTATCATGGGCCCAACATGGGAAGCCCATGTGGGCTGACCGCATTGAACCCACATGACATAAGCATGGGCTGAACGTACATGGGTTGGACCTGGGCATGGGTATGTAGGCCCCATTCCTTTTTTATGTGGGATAACTGGGGATGGGACAGAAATGGGCAACACTATGTGGGGCCCATGCAGTTTCATTATCATGGGCTCAACATGGGAAACCCATGTGGGCTGACCGCATTGAACCCACATGACATAAGCATGGGCTGAACGTACATGGGTTAGACATGGGCAGGAAAAGGTAGACCTTAGGCCCTTTTTGTGTGGTGTAATGGGAAAAGATTGTTAAAATCTGATTAGACAATGTGGATACCCTGACACTTTCAAAATTTTCACTATATCTCAAAAGCAAGAGCTGCAAGATTACAAAAACTTGGAAAAAAATTACCAGAGATGTCAGACTGACATTTTTCACCAGGGCAATTACTCAGCTGATCTATATTGGAGTTGATAAAAGGTAAGGAGTTGATAAAATTTTAAAAACAATTAAGCTTTTCTTTCTACTAAAAGAAAAGCTCTTCTTGGATGGTGACCTCGTCTTGGAGGTCATATTGTATTTGAACCTAAAACATGCTCACTACATGATTTCTGTGTCTGGCTCATTTACTAACACTGACATGACACAAGGCTTCTAGAAGACCAAAATATGCGTCATGCTTTATTTTTTTAACCAGTTCAGTATTGTTCAAGCTACACTTTGAACTCCTAACATTTTTCTTTTTATGATTTTACACTAGAACAGCCCAGATGTCTTCTAACATTCTTGTGACATTATTTGTTTTAAATGTGCATAATCTTCTGCTGCTCACTCGGTCCTGGTTCAGAGTGGACTTTTGTCCTTCTTTATTTTATTTTATGTTATTATCAATTGGATGTTCATACATCGATAGTGTTTATTGCAGCTTTTTTACAGCAGGGCTTAATTCTTATTTGGAGAAATAGTTCAGATCAGACCATCGTGAGAAATATTACAAAAATGTTTAGAAAATAAATTTAAACAAAACTCAAGTGAGAACATTTTGAGCATCTTTTTTTCATCTGCAAACATTTTCCAAGTCGTCATCGTAAGTGAAATAAAATGAAACTTAACATTTCTATTAATGATTATTTTTATATCTTTTTTCAATAATCTTTTTAACCTTTTTGTTAATTTTTCTCTGGCACCGTTGCCAATAAAGGTTGGTGAATTGAAGTAATCACTTTACACATCCACTAAAGAAAATAGTTCCAAAACACATTTGAATAAGGACGACTATATTTATTTATTTTCATTGAGAACGTTTGTGAGTGTTACATCCATAGACATAATATAAGGATAGACGCCTCATGGACCGCTCTCGCCTATTGTCGCTGACGAGATTTAGGG